TATATATATATAAATAATATTAGAAATCGGATTCGGGTTGCTAGCACCACAACCCAAGCCCATTCCGGATTGAGATTTTTCAACTCAAGTCCAATCCTACTTGTAAAAATGATTGCCCAAGCCCGCAAAAAATTGAGTTGTGTTCGGGTTGCCCAATTAAAGTTACAACCATATATATATTTATTTACTAAAAATATAAGTTATCCTTCTTTTATTTATTATTTAAAAAAAAACTATATCCATTTTTTTTAGGGCAACACGGCACTTGTTTCATAATGATTCATCAAATGTGCTATACATTTTTTTTTTTTTTTTTTTTTTTGGGTAAATAAATGTGCTATATGCTTAAGAGTAGTGTTATTGCGAGAGCGCTCTCACAAAAAAATTAAAAAGCTCGCACTTATAAGCCACGCAATTAATTAAGAAAGAATCATTTGTTTTTTCTCTCTTCTCTCCATATTCCCTCTTACTATCTCTTGGTTAACCCTCAACCAATTTGCCTGACATATTAGATTCCCGTAAGTTAGACTTTAGCTATCATATTCGCGACACTATTTCATTATATTTTTTCGCATTTTTGAGCTTCGGAATAACCTAATCCCAAAAAATTTATGTGTTATTTAATTATATTTTGTTTTTTTTTCTATTTTTATGTTTTTGAGCTTTGGAATAGTCTCATCCTAAAAAATTTGTGTTCAAATTAAGAGAGAGCAATAGACAGATTGGTTAAGGGTTTATGAAGAGAGAGAAGGAGAGAACGAAGGGAGAGAAAAAAAAAAGCTTGTTTTGTTTACTTAATTGCAAAGTATTATTTCTTAATTAATTCTTTCTCAAAATTTCTAAAAATATGAATTGTGTGACTTATAAGCACGAGTTTTTTTAGATTTTCTACTCTAATCTCTATACTTAATTATACATAAAAAAAAGCCCGAAAAAAAAAAAAAAAAATTCTAAGATGGAGCAATGCCGGGTCAAATACGAAATGACAGGGTGGTGATGGGGCTTCTTCCTAAAAGAGGACAAGGATGGCGATGGACTCTCGGTCATTTTGCTTTTTGAGGACTAATGGTGAACCAAACGTTATTCCTATGCTTCGTTCGAGAAAGGCCAGAATGCTCAAATAAACTTTTCATAGGAAAATAATTGAGCAGCCGAAACTACTCAACAGATCGAAAAAAAAAAATAGCTGAAGGAACAAGTTTCTTCTAGTCCTTATTAATGAGTCCCACTTTAGTGCGTCTAAAAATGCAGCAAAAAAATAGATTCAGGTTAATTTTGATTCACAAACTAATGCATTATATATCTACCTTCTGTGGATCGATGGACAGAAACTCACGAGCCTTCAGAGGCAAATGATCTCCTCCACAGTTGATCATACAAAGCATAAACGACACCGTCGGATACAGGCCAGTCTCACTCAGTCCACCAGGGATAGTGACAGCATCAGGTATGGATCCAGCTGTCAGCCTCAGGAACTTATGTTATTTACAGTTGACTTTTCTTGTTCTGTGCCAGCTGTCTTCATCAGATTTCTTAACTTCTTTGGATGTTTTTATTTTATTTTATTTTATTTTTATTATTATTATTATTATTTAATGTTGTTGCTGGCCCTAGTACATTTATTTATTTATTTATTTTATCTATAAGAAGTTTTGTAGCTTTTTTACTCTTTAACCCAAAAAAGAAAATAACAACAATAATAAATAAATAATTCACAATAATAATTCTATCTACCACCTTCGTGATAATAAAGTGGTTGGAACTTAGAAGTTGATTATTGGTACTGCCCTTTAAATTATAAATAATAATAATAATAAAATAATTATGGGTACATATATATATCATTTCTTTCTTCTTCTTTTTTTAATAAAAAAATCTGTCATATCAAATAACTCACCTAGTCGAATGCAGTGTGGACTCTTGAATTTTAGATCTTCAGCTTTAAACTATTAAGATACCACCAGACTAGATAATGATTATCAGTGTTATGATTTGAGACTTGAGAGCATGATCAATTCTATTGTACGTAGGTACCCACTGGCCTTTTATGAGAGTATACAGTTCCAATATCAGAACTCTGCAAGACAAGCTTTTCTCATCTCAGCTGATGATACACCAAATATATGAAACTAGAAACAAGAACTTGAAACCCTAACCCTAACCCTAACCCTAACCGAAATATATATTAACTCTTCATAGTTTCTGATATAACTAACGCATTCCCTTCTCGGAAAGCGATATATGGATCAAGTTTAACAGAATACTTTGAACTTGTTGGACCATATTTAGACAATTTTGGTCCCAGCATAAATGCACATTAGTAGGGCTTGGTTGAACACAGTTTCACTCAACACGCAGAGCCTTTCAATAATTTTTATGAAAGATGAAGCTACCTAACTCCATTACTAGCGAATTAAATCTCCATCAAATGCCATTCTTTTTTTCCCACCTAACTACTCCAGAATTAAACGATTTGAGCTCAATAAATTGGCAATTTAATGTAACTCTCATTCATTGGAGATGAAGAATTGATGATCATCAAACCTACCACTTTGGCTGTCCCCACTACTAGTTATTTTAGTCTTTATGATCATGTAGATGTATAATTCAAGTGCCTTAATGTAGAGATAGACTAATTCAACCTCCACCACATGGCCATTGTGCTCCCAAAACAGGAACTTTCCAGTGAAAGCTTGAAAGCTCCAAATACATTTTACCATAGATACATATAACCTTCAAATGTATCATCATATTTAATTGCCTAGATGTTTTTGAAAAATATCAGACCTGAAGTGTGTATATATATACACACACACAAATATATATGCATGGAATTTTACATGTTCAGTAATATTACAATAGAATTTCATTGCAACAAATAATTCTCTTTCTCACCTACACAGTATAAAAATAAAAATAAAAAATAAATAAAATAAACCTACATATATAGTTAATTAAAAGAAATCATTAAAATATCTGTTTTGTATTTATTACTAATTTTATTAAGAGAAGGCCATTTTAAGCTAGATAAATCTTCACATGGAGAAATGGAAAGAAGAAAAACTACAGATTTTTTTTTTTTTTTTTTGTTGGGTGAGAATATGAAATAATGCAAGCAGTTTGCATCATCTCCTTTCGTACGAATTTAGTGTTGTTTTCAATAATTTGGCGGCTTTTTCCATTGTAAACATCAAATTTATTATGTTTGAAAATGCTTCAATAGTCATAATCATGCTCTCCATGATTGAACTACGATGATTTGATTGTTCGTTTATTTTTAGCTAAGACTGCTTCCTAAAAGGGGATTAAGGTGTCTTTATCAGTGTAATCATTGTTTGTCACATTTGTGTTTTCATGTTGGCATCAGTACAGTACGTACTACAATTAGGAACATTGCGATTGATCTATACATGAGAACCACCTAATTAAAGATTCCAACTAAAATCATGAAATGATGGATCTTTCATTATCTCAACTGAAGTGAGGAATTATATTGTACTTGTGTTAAAAATTTCCAGTAGTTCATATATTGTCAAACTCCATTAGTCTTTAATAACCAATACCTTCATTACATCAATAGAACTTCATATATAGATACACACACACACACATGCATATTATACCTAGGAATATTAATGATACACGTATGTGCAAAAAAACTTAATTATGCAGGAAGTTTTTGAATAAAAAATATATATTATACAGTAAGTTCTTACTAGCTGTATAGCACACTTTGACACTGCTCTCCTTTCTCTTCTTATGTCCATATAGCAAAGGAACCATCTTTAATTTATTTTCCTATTAATTAATTCTTAAGAAATTTTTACTACTTCAACTAGAAAGGTTTTTCAGCTCCCACGTAAAGATAAAGAAAAAAAGCAAGAAACAAATAGGAGGCTTGCAAGAGTTTTGAGTTTCAAAAATATCATGTGCATGTGACATGTGTATCTTTCATTCTTTTGGTTCTTGTTTCTATTTGAGTTGAGCCCCTTAGCTGGACTCCCCCCAATAAAGAGGCAATTGATACCAATCACCTGGCTAGTAAAAGCAAGAATATATATATATGTATCTAACACCGAATCCAATCCAAAAATGAAGGTAGATAGTTAGGGCAAGAGTTAATGGAACTCAGTTCATTTATTTTCACTCCAGTTAATTCATCAATATATACCCTTGTAAGGAACTGTTATTTCAACAACCTAAAAAAGGCTTCGTCTACATGTGATACAATCTCCCCTAATAATATTACCCTTCAAGAAAAAACTTCCCTAATATTGTTAATTAGATTATTAGATGTATCTTCTATTCAAAATATTGTTTAATTAGTTTGCAATATCATGTTATTCCTACCTTAAAATTTGGACTATATATATGTTTTCACCGGTGATGACATACATTATATTGCATATGTGGTACATTCTTATTGTGACACGTTATATTTGATTGTCAATAAAAAAATACTGAAAAGAAAAATAAATAGAAGAAGAATGGCCCATTTCATCTTTGGTTGACTTCATTATCTTTTATATTGTATTGGTTGGGTAAGTCTAGCTCATTAGTGAAGATCTAAGTATTGTCATAAAATTTTTGTTGCCAGGGAACTCAACCTAACACATTCCACAAAATATATATCAGTAGTTGAGCTAAGAAGACTATAATATTGCATATATATGTAAATCCTCTTGAAATTTTATTAATATTTCTTCTTTAACATAGAACATAAGAGACAACCAACTTAATTTATATATGTATATTTGATTGTCAATAAAAAAATAATGTTGAAAAGAAAAATAAATGGAAGAAGAATGGCCCATTTCACCTTTGGTTGGCTTCATTATCTTTTAAATTGTATTGATCATAATGTGTCATATGTGATAGCTCATTAGTGAGGACCCAAGTATCGTCCTGAAATTTTTGTTGCGAGAGAAACTCAACCTAACACATTCGGCAAAATATATATTAGTACTTGGAAGACTTTAATATTGCATATATATGTAAATCCTCTTGAAATTTTATTAATATATCTTTTTTAACATAGAACATAAGAGACAACCGACTGAATTTATATATGTATATATAGAAGGAGGCTTGTAATTTTGTAATAAATGAAATGTATATTTGAGGGTAACATTTACAACCCTCAAGTAGTACAGCGTTGCACTACTTTGTAAAATTTGACTCGATGCGCGCAGTGAAAAGGACAGCACATGGAATCTCCCTAGTCCAGGGTGAGAATCGATCACCATGTGTGAATATTCTAGAGCTCTATCATTAATTCCCATTTAGAAGTTCCTCAATCATTTGCAGTGCCATCTTTTCTTCTTCATCCATCCCATTTTTCACAACCACTTCCCGCCCTGACGACGACGAAGACGACGCTGCTGCTTGCGCTTCCACCGGCGCTTCTTCCTTCAGCTCCTCCGCAGGCAGTACTACTACTTGTTCGTTGATCTTCTTCCCCAGCTCCACCGTCATCACCCAGTTCGAGTCGGAGCTTTCCCCTGCTCGCTTCTGCCATACTCCGATGTGGGAGCTCTGTGTGTCCAGCCTTAGGCAGGTGAGAGATGGTGATGGATTTTTACAACACTTGCGGAGCTTTGCACTGAGGATGTTTGAAAGAGCAGTCTTGGATGATGATGGGGTGGAGCTTTCGACACCGGCCTGAACCCCGGTCGCCGGGAAGTTTGTTTTTGCATTCCGGCCACTCATCAGTATCGCCGCCTCATCGTAGGCTCTAGCTGCCTCCTCCGCTGTCTCGAAAGTCCCTAGCCACACCCTTCTCTTCCTGTGACAGAGCCGGAAAACAGAAAAAATAAAAAATTAAGGACAATGTAGTACGGAAAGATAAATTGGATAAGATTAATTAGTCAGATTTAACCAAAATCTCCCAATCCAAACACAGGGACAGGGAGTTAGGGGGAGTGATCAGTCCCATCCCCGCCACATTCCTCAACGTGCAATATTATAAGTAACATGAAGTAGAAATACAGCATGTATTATATATATATATATATATATATATATATTTCTAGCTAGTTTGCTCGTGCGTGTATGCATATTCATAGATATAGAGAGAGAGTACAGTAGAGGGTGGCGAATCTCAGAAACCCAAGAGCCCCAGTGGCGTTGCCTGACGCCTCTGAACTTCTTTGACTGTACCATGATTGTCAGAGAGAGAAAGACTAGAGCTGAAAATACGGGAGGTGTTTGATCAGGAACTCCTGATGAGAATGGAAATATAAGGGGGTGAATTACATATGTAGGACTACATTTATAACTGTTGTCGGTGAGTTAGTACAGCTTTTTGAGTCTTCTCTAGTTAGTTACCCACTTACCCTTTTGCTTGTGGTCCTTGACTGCATGTATCCTCGGTCCATGTGACCCACCCACGGAGCCCTTGAGGAGTGGTGACCCACCCATGGAGCCCTTGAGGTAACTCCCTCCCCCAAGCCACCCTTGAATCTTGACCCTCCTCTCTCTCTCTCTATATATATATACATACACACGTGTGTGTATTAATATATTGCATTTGGTAGAATGGCAGCCTGGCCGGTGTATGGTGATAAAATAATGGCGGCGACCATTTTTGTGCGACTGTACCGCGCGCACTACGAGAACAAGGAATAGATGGAAGAGATGAATAAAAAGGCCCGCACTAGCCCATGTTAGAAAATAGAAGCCCATAACCACAAATGCCTTTCTTTATTGCGCCTTTTTTGGGCTAGACCCAATCCGATTTCTTAGTTTGTCCAAGAATCAACTTTTTCCAATCCATTAAATATTTAGTCGATCAATCTAGTTACTGCAATAAAGTCCAATTTAATCATAGTAATTAAGATGGAATTTAAGAGAGAGAAGATTAAATGATTTAGAGAGGGAGAATTGTGGAGGAGGAGAGGGCTGTGGATATTCTAGGGAAGTGTATTTTCTTAGAATGTCAGGAGAAAAGGAGCAAAATAAGGCATTGGTTCTTGCTTTTAGTTGGGTGGGATTTGGGCGGGCTAAGATTAGCATGTACCAAAATCTAAGGCTCTAACACCTTAGTTTGTGTCAAGTCTAAGTCTTGAAAAACCTATCGCTTCTCAGCCCGCGTCATACTGTGCGAGTTTCATAGGTTTTTTGATTTCTTGAATCATCCTAGAGTTTAATAATCTATTAACAAATAAACATTAAAAGAAAATAAAATTTTACGTTTACCTACCTAAACCTTTAAAATGTGTAAAAAAATAAACTTTCTTATGGCATAGCATGATCTCATATGATAAATCAATGATTGATTATACTATAAATAATCTTATAAACTATTCTTATATTTTCGAGTTCTTTTGGTTTTTTTTTATTTTTTATTTTTTGAGTTTCTAAGACTTTTGTCTAAATACCGTCAAAAAAAAATTCGTTCGGCCTGTTTAAACTCAATCCTATCTCACAATCTCAAGTACCTCACACATTCCCGTAAAACTTTGGGGGTGATAATTGGGTTACTGGGGTTTGTCCCACGTTTTGAAAAATTATTAGATGATCTTGATCTATTTAATATTTGGTAGACTACTCTAATTAAAGTTAACGGTGGGATTTATTTGTAATATAGTAAAACACTCGTGGTTTCTGTTTTTTTTCAATCCGAAAAGTCTGAATTTAATTAGTCAAGAGTAACTTTGAAGGATGAATTTTTTTTTATGAATAAATCTGCTTATTGGTAGTGCCAAGAGGAAGTGTGATACCAATTGAGTAGAATAAAAATATAATAATACCAAATTTTATTATTATTTTTTTTAAAAAGAGAAGGATGTGGAAAATTGTATTAGTATACGAATTAAATTATTGAGTTGTAATAAAACTATGGAAAGAGTAATATAACAAAGATTGATGACTAATTTGGTGAGCTTCACAAAGGATAAAAAAAAGTTCCCAAACAAGCAATAAAGATGATCCAGTTAAAATATATAAACACGAAAATTAGAGTTCGTTGATACCAAATACCATTGAATATTCTATATAAACAGATTCTTATGTTATTATATAAATAATAGAATTGAATTTGAGTGGACAACATAAATGCAAGCTAGAATAATGAATATATTAAAAGTGATATTCTATATAACCATTATTAAACCAGCTAATGTACATGAAATAGGGTGTTGGCTTTAAAAAAAAAAAATAGAAAAAAAAATCATGTAATGGAAATATGAATGTTGGAATAGAATATATATGTACAACAATAAAAAAGAAAAGAAAAGAAAATTTACGAGACTAAAAACATAACACTTAAGCGTTAGAGCACTAACTGTTTACCAAATTTTACCAAAAGCTGAACATAATTTTGGCGCATTAATCAATAGGTAAAATATGAGAAATTCTTAAGATAATATACACAATTATATTACATTATATATTTTTAGTAAATAATTTATTTATGCATTTCTTTTAAGACAATAGTAGATTCTAGTGACTGTTGATGTGGTCCAACTACAAATATACAAATAATTAATAATCATAAAATTATAAAAATAATTAAAAAAAATAATAATTTTTTTAAAAAATTAAATTCAGTCACCCTTTCAATTTTGTTATTTATCATTTTTTTATTTATTAATTTCCTAATTTTGTAATTACGAACCAGTATTAAAATCTTGTACTTTATTTTACTTTTATTATATTTTTGTCGATTAATCTCAATCATAAAAATAAAAAATTCACGCACCCCACGACCAGTGTATCTTTGTTCACTTTGCGAGCGCGAGTGCGTGAGGATTTGCGCGTGACTTTAGCCTTTAGGTGGTGACCGACCTGACCTCGTTCCCCTCTCTTGCCTCCTCCATCCATCGTACATCGTCATTCGTCGTACAACACCATTGGACACACAAATACACACACACACACACATATATATATTATTCTCAACAATCAAAAATCTCCGATCGCTGTTTTTAGCTATGACCCTTGTTGATTGAATCCTCCTCGGTCGTACTTAATCATCTTCCTCTTCAATTAAGGTTTGCGTTTTGCTTGTTCTTTAATTTTTGGATTGAGAGACCAACTCCAATTAGGGTTTCCTAAGTTTTCAACTTGATTCCCCAATTTGGGTTCTTTCCAATAGTTCGTTCCTAGTGTGCTTTCTGTTCCGTTAGCTTATGTGACGAATTTGGGGCCACAACGTATTATCATCACTGCAAGTTTTGGTGGAGGACCCAATTGTGTAGTACTGGTAGCATTGGCCCAACGCAAATTAGTTAACCTTCAATCTCTTGCTGTAGTGCACAGCCTCAGGTAATTCAATTTCCGCTAGCAAATTTTTGAGTAGTTTTACTGATTTTCATTGGGAATTTTTTCCTTCTTTTTTGTTGTTTTATTGCAATTTGAGATATATGGTGCATTATCCATGTTTGATCGTGGCATTATTTATTTTTGTGATTATATTCTGCATTTCTTTTGTCAATCGTTTGGACTCAAAATGTTATTTTCTGGTGTTGGGTATTCTTCATAAATTAATTTGGCTCCTTTAAATTCTGCACAATGTTTGAAATGGTTATGTTGGTTGCATATCACTGGTTGGAAGTGAGAAATTCTACTTGGTATCTGAAAATACTGATTGTTGCGAGATGTCATGTGGGTATGATGGTCGGTGGGTCATTATGAGACTATTTTCTAATGTCTTTTTTGGTTCCTACTCATCCAACTCTTCTCTTCTTTGTAATCTTTAAAATTTGTTCTCCCCATTCCTTCTCCACCTGTGGTGGTGTTTAACCATTTGATTAGTTCTTCCCCACACGCTACCTTACTTATCCAAGTGTCGATGAGCTGAATGAGTGTACTTGGTCATGTGCAGTGTTGTTAAAGGCGCACCTAGGCTCCAGGCGTAGTTCTAGCGCCTGTTGTCATCCTAGGCTCACTGATGTTTACTAGGCGCGCGCCTGGGTTGCACCTCGTCCTATTTGTCAGGCGCGCCTCGCTGTTTTTTGTTTTTTTAAAATGATTATTCTATCTCTTAAGCCAAAAAGGGTACTTTTGGCAACTTAATAAACAAATAATAAAGTCTTAAGCATGTGAGAGAAGGATCTTTTGTTCAAAAGAATAAACAAATAAGAAAGTTCAAGACCGAACATAGAAAGAGTAAGACTGTGAGACGAACGACAAAGCTCTAGTGGTAGTGACGAACGATGAAGCTATGTCAGTTCTTTCTTCTTCTTCTCTCTCCTCTCTTCTCATCTTTGTTTACTTATTTCTGTCCTTCTAGTTCTCTTCTCTGCCTTTTTTTTTTTTTGGGCTCTATTTTTTTCTCCTTTTTCTTCTTTAACACTTTCTCTCTCTTCTCATCTACTTCTCTCTCTTCATCTACTTCTTTTGTCTCTGCGTCTTTTTTTTTGGCTCTATTATTTTTTTTCTTTTCTTGTTAACAGTTTTTTTAATAGATTTATTTCTTTTTGTACTCTGTTTTGCCTTTTAGAATATTGATATGACTTGTGAGATATGAATGCTATTATGGTAGTTTAAAATTTCAATTGTGCACCTCACTTCAGTCAGGCGTGCGCCTTGCCGTGCGCCTCGCGCCTAGGCTCCAAAGGACCTCTAGCACCTTGGTGCACCTTGAGCCTTTAATAACACTGGTCGTGTGAGAAACCTCAAAACTCATGTGCATAGATTCTTGGGCTGACCTCACTGCTTGACTTCATCACGCATCTGTAGCATATTATTTCTCATAAATGTTATTTTCCAATCTCAAGTTGTGGAATCGTACCATTTTGAAGATCTTTGCTCCTTTGATCTATCCTTTGTGGTTACCTTAATTCCTGTCATGCGGTGTGCTAAAGCTCGACTCTGTTAGAAGACAACACAAAGTTAGCAGGTTGATCTGACTTTAATTGTGTTTCTGTCGTAATCGTGTAGTCGGGTTTGGAGAACCGTTTTGTCCGATCTGACCAGTTTAAATTTGTTTGTTAAAACTGTATAAAGGAATTATTTATAAATTATGCAGGCATATTTTACAATTCATAATTGGTGAAACTCTAATTCATAAATGTTCAAGCCATCTACATGTTTTTAACTTTAATTTTTTAGTTTGGGTTCATGCTTGATATTTGCATTTAGTATTCAAGAAAAGAAAATATTAAATAGGTTATTATACGAGTCATGTCCTGTCATGTCATAGATTACATGAGTTACAGGTTACACGACACATTCTGAACTATTTTTTAAACAAATGATTCAAGTCATATTGTGTTTCCTGTTAAAAAGGTGGGTCATCCCATAACAGGAGTTCTTGACATGAATAATAAGAGGATTTGTGTTCAGTTTAAGATATATACCTGAATTTCTTGTATCAACATGACATGAACATGACTTTTTAACAAGAATTGTCACTTTTACCGTCATGTGTCATAAGGCAGCAAGTTGTGGTCACATTTTTTATGGATTGAACAGTTTTGGCAACCACTCTTGGGATTTGTTCTATCTTGAAGTGTGAAAATGCATAATAATTGATGATGGATTCGTTGGTGAACCTTTTGAAATTTCCCAGTTCTAACTTTTTATTGTATTTTCACAAATTCTGGTAATACTGGTATGAAATTTGAGAGTGATATTTGAAACGTTAGTTGAAATTTATTTAAAACATCACTTTTAATCCGTGTTCAGTTTTTTGCTGCAGCCAATATCACTTGTGTAGTGGCTACCCATCTTTAAATCTCATAACCTTAGGAATTATGCCAATTTTACCATGACTACCCTCATTGACATTGCCATTGCCATTGCCACTGCTGCCACACCACCATCATAATTGGAACCACCAGTATAGTACCATTATCACTATCAGTGTCGTAATTTGATCCACATACATCGTTTAGAAATTTAAATTTAGTGGAAAAGAGAAAAATTGACTTAAATTTTGAGGGAAGTGAAATACCAATGGAAGGTGTGTGTGTGTTTTGTGGTGTGAATTATATAGAGAGAGTACTATTTTTCCCTTTTATTGAGCTTAAGATTTTAATTAAGTTGCCTTTATTATCATTTGGCATGATAACAATGTAACAAAACTATATATCCACAAATATATATATATATATATATATATATAGAGTACTAATCTCTTGCTCCCTATGGAGCAAGAAAAATCTTTCGCACTTTTTATAGTGACCATTAGATTAAATCTAATTATCACATTCCAAACCCACTTATATGCTTTCCTTTTAATATAAAACCACTATCATTATTTCTACTTTCCAAATTTAATATTTACCAATACAATTAATTATAACAATAAAAGGTAAGTACTAAAAAAATCCTTAATTCACAATAAGAGATTCAAGGAAAAATATAAAATCTTGATTTGTATCCAAGGACCAATTAAAAATTGAAATATTGGATTATGGAAATTTCGAAGCAATTTGAATTGGATTATACTTCCAATTGAATGAGTATAAGGAAAGGATCCATGGATGAAGATAGAAAAATAGATTTCTAATCGTAACAAAATCTCCAATTTTTGAAAAATTTGAAACAAAATTGCTATTAAACAATGACTTTTGGCCTGAATGACCCATAATTGACTATCCTTTACCAAGGTTATTTTTATTGAACATTAAATATTCCTAGTATAATAAACATTTAAAGTCATGTAAAATGTTGTATCCACATAGTTCATTTCTGATCACATGATTTATCACAAATTGATGGACTTTTCATAATTTATTTCAAGAATATTGTATTTCTTGTTCTTAATTTTTTGAAATGAATCCTTAAACTCCAATTTCAGATGAGCTTTGGACATCTAACTTTTTTTAAATTTAGTTATCTTACAGGTGACTTGAGTTTGTGATCTTTTTGTGGGATTATTTGGATAGTGGACGGAGTTGCCATGTTTGTTTCTGCCTTTCCCTTCCTTTAACATTACTCTTGAAATGGATCATATTACCATTCTTCAATGTTGTATAGTGGTCTTTGCTGCACATTACTAAACCATCGTAATCGGTTTTCTCTCTGTGTTACTTCAACCATCTCACAAATGGGTTTATATATATTTTTATCCTTTTTGTTTAGCATATGTGTATATTTGTAATGAGTAAGGCATAATTTTCAATCTGCAAATACTCATAATTTTCATAAAGCACATATAGAAGTTGAGACAAATTCTTTTCCAAAATAGATTCATCCAATGTTATGCTCCATCATGTCAAAGGCGACACTTGCGTTCTTATTCTTTCTTTTCTTTTCACTTTTAGTAACTCATATCATCGGACCACATTGATAACAAAGCATTTGCTTCTTACTAACTTGTATAAAACTTATGCTTGAAGTGATGAGAAGACACATAAAAGTAGGCTTGCACGCATAAATCCTCTTTCTTTCATCTTTAACAATCTTATGGACTCTACATTACCCACGAGAGGAGCGAGTTGCAGACTCGAGACCCAATCACATTGTTTTTCTCACATGGAAACTGAAGAAAGAGACTTCTACAAATGACCTCCATCTAACTCTGTGCACTACTTATTTTTTAATGTTTCTTTACTCTCGTGTCTATATTGTTTAAATAAACAATATAATAAAATATAGTAGGTGTATGACAAGTAACCTTTGGAATGTGTGATGGTTTTGTACCACCAAAGGCTGTAGCCTGGTGGTACTTCCTCACCTTTCCAAGTAGAAGGTTAAGGGTTCAAGTCCCCATAGGGGGCAAAGTGGGTGTGAGTTTCTTGCCAATTGGAAAAAATAAAGTGATGGTTTTGTTGTTTGAGATCTGAACCGTAATGACCATTAAATTTCCAATATAATGACAAATGTGTTTGTACTTTGTATATAGCTTTATTAATTTGGTAGTGTACGTGAATGTTCAAGTGAGACGTGTTTGCATGAATAAGGAGAATATAACAGCCTTTTAGGCATTAAAGTGGAGAAAAAGGCTGCTGAATGGACCCCTCATCTGTGCTCCATGGCAGGTATAATACCCACAATGGTTTCTTCCACTGCTACCAACCTACTTTCATATACAAGGTGACTTGTCGCGTCATCAATTTCTCTTTTGACTTGTAGCTCTTTTGACTTGTATAAGGCGTGGAACACACTTTTATATAAGTCTTAATACTCACATATAATTTATATTGTCAATTTGCACTTGTTGTCATGTTTGTTTTTTAATATAATACATTTTTAATAAGCTGTATTTTTTTCATAGTATATATAGTTTACGAAAATACTGGTCTTAAAAAAGTAAAGGAATGTTTTTCTTGAGTGTAGTAGAGCCTACTAAAAAGCGTGTGTATAAGGGTTTTATG